TCTATGTCCGTTAAACACACTGTAGTTCCTGACATCAGTCTCAATTCTGAGCTAAGGTGTTTTAGGAAGCATGCATTGGTGGTTAGTGGGGTGGTGACGTGTGCAGTGCAAAATGAGCATGCTGTGTTTGCAAAGCCAAAGCTGTGCCACAAGACCAGTGACTGCTGCCAAAAACACCTCACATTCATTACACATTTGGTTTTGAATTAATCTTTTGGAGGGTTTTTGGGTGCAAGAAACCTTTCACCATAATTTTTTTGTGTGTCTGCTGTGTCTGTGACACATTCCGCTTTGTGGTTTCATAGGGTCACATCCCACATTGTAAGAAGCAGAGATATAGTTCAATGATGTTGGGAACTTCATGTTATCTTTTCATCTTTTCCACTGGACTTGTCAGATATTCAATAGGAAGAAATTTTAATCTCTTGTCTTAGGGTAAAGATCCAACTTTCAACATTCTCTTTGTTAGGGAAAAGGACTGCGACGGTCCCTAAATATATGGTGTATTGACAGTTAGAGACCTAACAGCTTCTCTGACATATTTCTTCTAATTCCAGCTTCATGAGATTCTTGATTATTCTGTAATGTGAAGGGTTTTTTTTTTCAAATAGCCTTCCTTGTTTTCTCCAAATCAGCTCTCCCAAGTGTTTTGCATCCGTTAGCATCACTTCATCATTGTGTATTCTTATCCCTCAAATTTATTTATTACTATTTCACCTCTCTTGTCCTCCCAATCCTTCCAGTAGATTTGGGAAATAAATTAGATTCACTATACTCAGTTTATCTTGGTATTCTGGGAAGCAACATACTATCATAATTTGTAGCATAGTTTCATGTAACTCTAGTCTCTTTTTTCAAATATATTTAGCTTTTTATTAGAATTATTTATTGCTTACATTTAACTTTTCTTATAAATGAAAAGGGAAGATAATTCAGTGTCTACATAGGGCAGTTATAATCTTTCCAGAACTCCATCAGCCATACACTATATTCTAGTTTAATTAATCTTTTACCTAACAGGTTTGGTTTTGTTTTGTTTTGTTTTTTTGGATCTGGCTTTGGTATCAGGGTAATACAGGATTCATAAAAAAAAAATTGGAAATGCTCCTTTTCTTATTTTGCATAATAATCTATGTATTATCAAGTAAGAATTGTTCTTTGAAGATCTAGTAGAATTCTGCAGTGACTCTACCTGCTTCTGAGATGGCTTTAGTAGGGAGACTTTTTATAGTAATAAATTCTTGTTGTGTGTGTGTACACACACTTAAATTTTCATTTCATCTTGGTTTAATTATGGTAGGTCATATGATCTGAAAATTCATCTGCTTCTTTTAGATTTTCCAAGTTAGTAAAATATAGATTTAAGGTATGTCCTCAGGATACTCTGTATTTCTTTGGTATCTGTTGTAACATCTCACTTTTTATATCTAAGTTTATTGATTTTGGTCTTCATTGTCTTTTCTTTTGGTGAAATTGGCAAAGAGTTTAGCAGTCTTGCTCATCTTTCCAGAGAAAAAACTCCTTGTTTTATTGATTCTTTGTGTTATATTTGTTTCTCTGTTTGTGTTTAGTTCATTAATTTCTGCTCTATAAATTTTTTGAGACAAGGTCTCACTGTGTAAACTTAGTTGGCCTAGAACTTTCTATATAGAGAGAGCATTTTGGCCTCAAACTCACAGAAACCTGACTACTCTGTGCCCAGCCCTGATCTTATCTCTTACTGTCTAGTGTTTTCAGGCTTGATTTGTTCTTGCTTTTCCGAGACTTGAGATGCATCATTCAGTTATTTATTTGGGATCTTTCAAATGGAAGTGAACCTGTGTGACTAGATAATGATATTCCTAGAAGCAAAATTTCCAGTCCCAGGTATGAGATATCTCCATAGGAGTTCACCAGGGAAGCCCCAGACATCCGCAACACAACCTAGGTTCTGTCAGTACTTTTAGTTATCTACCATTAGAGTCTACGACCTTTTTGCTAAAGACACTGCATATACTGGTTGCAAGATAGAGAGAAAGCAAGCAGAAACTGAGTCAGAAATTTCCTCCCTGCTGGCTGCTCTCACAGTCCTAGAAGGTGCTACTCTGCAGGTTTCTGGGAGAGAAAAGGTATCATTGGTCTTACCCATCTGTGTACCCTACAAAGAGAAAAAACCCCGCCCAGCAAGATGTGCCTACCTGAACAATAGTGGCATAATTTTGGGGATAACCAACTTCCATCTCATAAGATTTGAGGCCTGTTACAAGAGGGGAACTCACAGCTAGTACAGTAAGCCCACTTAACAGCCTATGCCTGAGGAGGTTGTAGGCCAAACTGGGGTAACGAAATTGATCCAACATCAAACTGCCTTCTAAATATGTGTGCTTATACTCATTGGCAAAGGTTACTCTCCACTGTAGTGAGAAAAGCCTCTCTTTACAATGAACAGCAGTGAATATAGAAACTAATCTCATAGATCTCTAATCTTCTGAGTATTCTCAGAATAGGTGATGGTTGAAGGCTCAGTCCTAAACAAGACATTTACACTCCTCCCTCTAAGACTCAGAAGACTGTGGAAGAGGGGTGTAGGAAGTATGGAAAAGCCAGAAGATAAGGTGAAAGCCTGTGAGAGGCAATGTTCTGGACTCTACAACTGTCACAACCAACGAACTCAGCAACTGCAGTTACCCTCCCTGGCCCACATGAGACAGATCATGTTAATAGTCATGGAAATGGAAGGGACTCATGCATCTTACTGTTCTACTATTGGCTATTGAGTTTCTGGGAATGGGGAAATAATTGTCTCTAGTTGTCTATCCACTGCTGACCCACCAGGTTCCAACTGATAGCTCCAAACCCACAGTCACTTGCACAGCCCTGGTTAAACACAGTGGGTCAAAGAAAAACAAATAGACATGAATGTGAGAAAGTTGTGGGAAAGAGGGGTGTATGTATATAGGAGTAATAGTGAGATGCGTGAGGATGTGATTAAGAGTGGTTAGTATGCATTATTTACATATATTAAGTTGTCAAATAGTAAATTTAATTTTAAAAATTAAAAACTCATAGAATTATGTGAGTAGCTATCTGCCTCAGTAAGAACTTTGTCAATTTCAGCCAATATTTGTTATTTATAAAGAGTTGAATGGAAAGTGTGTGTGTGTGTGTGTGTGCAGATATTTGTTTTGTCTTAGTATGTTTTTCTTTATTTTTGAGAATCTCATATATGTACATAATGAAATATGATCCTATTTACTCATAACTTCCCTCTGTGGTCCCCTGAATATCTCTAACACAGCCCCTTCCAACTTCATGCCATTTTTATTTAATGACTCATTAAGTTCTGTTAATATTGCCCGTATGTGCATGGGTACAAGGCTGTCACTGGAGTACGGGGAACCCACCAGTGGCTACATCATCCAAGACAGTTAGATAGATAGATAGATAGATAGATAGATAGATAGATAGATAGATAGATAGATAGATAGATGACTCTCCCCCAGCAATATTTAATCAAATCGGAAATAGCATCAGTTACCATTCTGTTTTGACCAATATCCTAGTAGAAAAAGATAATGACTTATTTTCTTCCATATCAATACTCAAGAATTGACTATGCAGTACATTTTTTTAAATTTATTTATTTAACATTTCCTGCAGTACATTTTTAAAAACTAAGGTAAAAATGTCAAGTGTCAAGAAAGGGTACAAGCCAAGCTGTTCTTCTTAAAATTTTATTGTTCCCTAAACTGTCAACCAAATATAAATATAATATGGTTATATCTTAGCACTGTTTTTTACCCTTTTCATTTTCATAAAAAAGCAACTCTAATTATATCTTTTATTGGTATCTGCTGAGTTTCAAGTTGTGAATGAAATCACAAGCAATCTCAGAGTACGGTTTGATATCCTTTAAGGTTATTAAATTTGACTCAGCTCACCTTTGTTAGCTTCCTGCATGTCATTAAGGAAGAACCTTTAGCATGCTTTACTTATGACTTGAAGAATTCATAAATACAGTCATTATTCAATCTCATTAAATTAGCTTAGTGAATTAGTGAATTTAATTTGACTTTTATTCAGATTTTTAAAAATATTTTGAGATTATAATTACATGGTTTCTCCCTTCCCGTTCTTCCCTCTAAGTCCTCCTTTATGTACTGCCCTCTTTTTTCTTTAATTGTTGTTGTTTTGTGAGTATGTGCATGTTCCTAATTTGAAGAGGTGGTTTGTTGTCTCATTGCCTTTTCTCTCCTTTTTCCTTACCTATGTTAATTTTATATTTTACAAAAGGGTAGCAGGAGAAGCTCATGCTTTCTTCCTTACCTTTATTCAAACAGAAAAGGGGTTTTAAAAATTGACTCTATTGGCCACAGACAATTCTCCAAACAGAATCAGAAATTTCCCCGAATGATGCATTGAGTTGAATCACACTACACAGATGCATATATAACCCAGAGAGGTTTTGTTTGGACAAGACCTGGAATATTTCCTGAAATTGCATGCTATTGTCAGACCAAATACTCACAAGGAAGATGGCCTGGTTAAAAATGGCAACATTTGCTGTGTTGTGCTTTGTTGTGCTGTCACAGGATTATTTTCTAATGGTTGTGAGTGATTAGTTAGAGTTGGGATCTGAAAGTTAACATTATTAACCCTTCCTTCCCTTCTGTGTGAGTATTGCTTCTACAAACTTCCCTATGTATAAGATGTTGGTAATTATATGTAATTACTACAGTTATTGTTTGCCTTGAATATAAGGATACTATTTAGATTTTTTAAAATTATCTTGAATTAAAAACCTAATTATTTGGCTTCCTTTTTGTTTTAACTAGTGAATTAGATAATAATGTTTTAAATTGCATTAGTTAAGTTTTATTGTGAAGCTCTATATGAAGATTAAAATATGGTAGGTCACTGGTTATATAGTTTGACTGTGGTAAATAAGAAAATGCAGTAAATTGTTGATTGAAAAGAGGGACATAATGTCAGTGAAGTTAAACTGACTTTTTGTTTTCTAGGGGTCCCTTCAGTGTTGTACGACGATGTATCAACAGAGAAACTGGGCAACAATTTGCTGTAAAAATTGTTGATGTAGCCAAGTTCACATCAAGTCCCGGGTTAAGTACAGAAGGTAAGAGATGGATTTCAAGTAAGTTATTTGATGTCTGGCTTTATTTCATCTCCAAAATCCATTTATCAACCTATCCTCATCTGGGGGTGGGGAAGCAGAGGGTGTGATATAGCGGGGAAGTGGGTGGAGACAGTTTGAACTCCAGTTGAAACAGTAGCTCAGAAATCTAAAAGATAGCTTTGGAATATGGAAGGGTTGTAGTCATCTGGGATCTTTATGAGCTGTTTTTTTAACTAGAGAATAAAATATTTACATAAGTTTTTTAGGGTCTAATTTGAGTTCTATTGTGTGAGATACAGTATAGAAAGGGAAGTAATTGCATGGATGATAACTGAATATTTAGAATCAGCCAAGATCCTTCTAAATGTAATTTGCTGCTTTTAGGATTATTATGTAGTATAACTAGAAGATCGATGTTTGATTCACATTTGGCTTAATCACAGTATGTGTGTAAGTTGAAAGGTCAGTAGTATTAGAATTTATAGAACTTAGAATTATGTTTTAAGATATTGTTACATATATGTGCATTTGAAGTTACTTATTTTTTAAATAGGTACAATGATTCACACTAAAGGTAACAAAACTGATTATTCTATTGACTTTTCTAATTAGCCTATCTGCTAACTTTAGATTTCCACAGCCTAGTAAATGATGTATCCTTCTTTAGTCTTTTGTTTTTTAATATTAAGGCAGTGCAATTGAGAACTTAGATTAGAAAATTCAAGGTAAAGTATCCCATTTGTGTTTCACCCAATTATCTTCTTTTGGAAAGTAGAATCTCACACACTGTGAGCACCAACTTAATCTATTTCAATAGATTTTTAGTCAGGTTGATTACTTTTAAATATTTTGTGACTCTTTAAATTATTATCAATATAATGTTTTAGATGATTCTTAAAAAGGCTAGAGAAGTAGCTCGTGATTAAGAGCACTAACTGCTCTTCCAGAGGACTTGGGCTTGATTCCCAGCACTCACATGAGGTCTCACAAACCATCTGACACTCCTGTCCCAGGGGATCCAATGCCCTTTTTGGCCCCTGTCAATACTAGCCATGCACTTGGTACACAGACATGCAAGCAGGTAAAACCCCCATACAAATAAAATAAAAATAAACAAATCTTTTAAAAAAAAACTGTTTTCGTTAAGTCACTACTACGAAAGAATCCTGTAATAATTTGTTTATAGGTCAAAGGGTATGCATACATTTATTGAATAAACATGAACACTTTTTGGGGAAAACTTGTAGTAAAATTTAAATGTTTCATAGTTCATAACTTCATTATCAGAATTAGTCATTAACATTTTAAATACAGGTTATTTTATATGCTTAATGATATTAAAAATTCCCTTTCAATGAACTTTACAGTTAATTTTTTTTCTTTGAACTACTTTGTTTTATGTTTGGTTGTGTTGTTTGCAAACCCAGGGCCTCAGGCAAGCTAAGCAAGTACTGTTTCTCTTAACTTAATTTGTTTTGAGTTTAAAGTTCCTATGCCTCAGTATAGGAACTGAGCACTGAGATAATTTTGTACAAACATGATTATTAAACAAGTAGGTGTTTTTAAAGCTTTAAAAATGTTCTGATATTGTCTATAAATTCAGTAAGGTTCTAATTTAAAATTATTAATGTTAAATAATTTCTTTAATTACCTATATTAAGTTACAGTAACAGAGGTGAGATCCTCTTATATAATATTATAAATGTTTAAATACTCGTAACTTATTTCTTAGCCCCGAATTTTTAATATCAAACATTTTGTTGTCTTATCAGTATACCTCATTCACTGTCTTTCCAGTCTAAAGACATTTTTAAAGGAGACAACCTCTTGCTCATTTGTTTATGGTGGATTATTGACATATTTCTTTAGCCAGGTCTCTGGAACTCTGGAGCCAGGATATGAGGGTAAATCTCTATTACCACTTAGTTAGAACGGGGCATGGTAATTTATAGCTTTAATCCTAGAATTTAGGAGGCAGAGACAGATGATTACAAGGACATCCTGATTTCCATAAAGAATTCCAGGCCAGCCAAGACTATATACTGAAACCCTATCTTAAAAAAAAGCCCCAAACAAACAAACACCAAACTGTAAAAAAGGAAGGCAAGTAGTACATATAATTTATTTATATCCCTGGTTTGAAGTTGTCTCTACTTAATATGAAATTATCAGTGAAGTTGTAACTCACACCTTCATCGCTTTGGTGATTAAAAAAAAAAATAGTCAAGTTTTGTCCTGAAAGCAAGACCAAGCAATTCAATTGATCCTTTATGTCTCTTCGAACCAATTGGAATTTTGTTCTGTTTTTATATCAGTATTATCTACCTACAGACTTTAAATAATACCCATTTGAATTTTTCCTATTACGATGACTTTATCTGGTTTGGGTCAGAATTTCGTGGTATTCTAGTGAAACTACTATTGTCATATTCATGGTATTACTATTTCGTTTTTCCTGTCTTTTTCAGCACAGTAAGTTAACCAAGAAAAGAATCAAATTTCATGTCTAGTACTCTCTCACTTCTTGTAATGGAATTCCCATACTCTCTATTGCTCTTATTCACACTAGCTTACTTTATTATAACTTAGCCACATTTTATAAGATGTATAATAGATGAAGTAAATAGTAAATTGGTGTATAAAATTTTTGAATAATGATCCCTTCATGACCTTTCTGCCTAACTTCTTTTTATCCCTTTTATAGTCACTATAAGCAACAATGTCTGATTCTTTCTTTTCTGTTACATTTATAAATTGTTAGGGTTCAAAAATAGCCTGTTGCATGGCAAAGCATGTAAGAATACTGGATGAAGAAGAAACAATTTTTGAAGTGAAGCGTAGCACAGTAAAGCAGAATCCATAAGTGCAAGTAAGACTATCTAGAAATATCTTTGATTTTCAGATTTCATCAGCAACAAATTATTTACAACTCCGTCCTATCACTTAATGCTTGCCTTACTCATAGTTTGCCTCCATTTGCCTTGTGGTTTATTTGATCCTTGTCATTGCCCATTTTTTTCTTGCTACCATATCTGTTTTCAAAATATATTATGAACTAAGTGTGGTTGAGCAGGACTATAATCCAAAAATTAGGTGGAGTCTGGAAGATCAGAAGTTGAAGGTCATCCTTAGCTACTTAATAAGTCTGAAGTCAGCCTGTGCTACATGAAACCCTGTCTCCAGAAAGAAACTGATAACAAATATGAGTACATATGTCTCCTGAGGCCCACCTGGGAGTTTTGTTTATCATATGATTTTATTAGAAAAACACAAAGTAAATTATATATAAATAACATACAAATTTAGTTTTGAAATAAAATATTTATTAATTGAAGATCATTATATAATTTTAAATTTGTATTGCTGTACTGAAGAGTCCATATTATAATTTGAACATTTATTCTTTATTTTTTGCCATCAATATTCTAATGTTTTATTCAATGAGATTTTTCATATTGCACAAATTTCAGTAGTCCCTTGAAAATAAAAACAGATTGTTATGTATGTGTTCATTTTTCTGTTTATATATATATTAAAAATTTCCACCTTCTCCCATCCTTCCATTTCCCTCCCCCTCCCCCCACTCCCCTTTGCCCTTCTTCTCCAGCCCTAAGAGAAGTCAGGGTGCCCTGCCCTATGGGAAGTCCAAGGCCTTTCCCCCTCCATCCACGTCTAGGAAGGTGAGCATCCAAACAGACTGGGCTTCCAAAAAGCCAGTACATGCAGTAGGATCAAAACCTGGTGTCATTTTCATTGGCTTCTCAGTCAGCCCTCATTATCAGCCACATTCAGAGATTCCGGTTTATCACATGCTTGTTCAGCCCCAGACCAGCTGGCCTTGGTGAGCTCCCATTAGATCAGTCCCACCGTCTCTGTGGGTGGACGCACCCCTCGCGGTCCTGACTTACTTGCTCATGTTCTCCTTCCTTTTGCTCTTCATCTGGGCCTTGGGAGCTCAGTCCAGTGCTCCAATGTGGGTCTCTGTCTCTATCTCCATCCATCGCCAGATAAAGGTTCTATGGTGATATGCAAGATATTCATCAGTGTGGCTATGGGGTAAGGCCAGTTCAGGCACCCTCTCCTCTGCTGCCCAAGGAACAAGCTGGGGACATCCCCTTGGATACCTGGGAACCCCTCTAGAGCCAAGTCTCTTGCCAACCCTAAAATGGCTTCCTTAGTTAAGATATCTTCTTCCCTGCTCCCATATCCACCCTTCCTCCATCTCAACCATCCCATTCCCCCAAGCTCTCCCCAATCCTCCCCTTCTCCCTTCTCTTTCCCCATCTCCCCTTCCCCCCACCTCACCCCACCCCCGTACTCCCAACTTTCGCCCGGCGATCTTGTCTAGACTTCGATATAAATCTGACCACACTGTAAGTTTTTAGGTGATTCTGAGACCTATCACTCCTAAATGGTTTAGCATTTCTTCCTTTATATGTATAAAGATGTAAAATTGCTTAATGAAAGCTAAGTGAATTTATATTAAGCTATTTCTGTTTGGGGACCAGTGAGATATCTAAGCAGGTGAAGACACTTGCCTCTAAGCATGACAACTTGGGGTTGACATAGGAACCAACATGGTAAGTGTACTTCAATCTAACCCTGTATGAAATTTATGCAAAGTGGCTCACATATTTAAATGTAAAATTTAAAGCTATATCACTTATACAGTACACCAGAAAATCATTGTGTCTATAAAACTTGATGAAGAATTGTTAGACAGGATAGCAAGTGCACGATTCAGACATTAAAAAACGAACGTACAAAAATCTATCGATGTAATCCACCATATAAACGAACTGAAAGAAAAAAAAACACATGATCATTGACCCTTTAACAAACACCCATTCATGATAAAAGTCGTGGAGAGAGAAGGGATACAAGGAATATGCCTAAACATAATAAAGGCAGTATACAGCAAGCCAACAACCAACATCAAACTAGATGGAGAGAAACTCCCAGCTATCATCCCACTGAAATCAGGAACAAGACAAGGTTGC